CTGAATCTGGATTTAATGAGTTACTTTGGTTAAGGAAAAAAAAAAGATAGCACTGATACCAGCGCTGAAGTCTTCAGGTTTATGACACTGTTTTTCTAAAGTAGATTAGAAATACCATAGAAAGATGTAATCTATATGAGATGCACCTCTTAACCTTCTCCAGTTCCATCATGCTTGACTTGGACTCTGCATTTTTCTCCTTCAGGTCGTGAACTCATTAGGTAAGTGAAAAGCCTGTAATTCCACTCCCAGGCTCTCACACTAGGTAGCAATTTGAAAACGTGCTGACAGTTGCCGTTAATCAGGCTAGGGGTTCCATCAGGCCCGTGCTGAGCTCCTCCTGGGAAGTCCTGAGTGTCTGGGGCTTGAGTGCTAGGGAGGTATGCTGGATCAGGCCACAAATATCTGCTTTTCCCATTGATTGAAGTCCAAGGCAAACAGGAAAATTGAAGTCAGGAATGAGTCTCTGAGAACTGTACAGTATCAGATACTGTCATTGTCATGGAGTGTTCCAGTTCAGGGCGACAGAATTCATCCCACAAACAAAAGTATACACAAAATTAAATTATCCTTTTTAGTGTCCATGCAGGTTGCCAGATCATGGTTGGTTTCCTTGCTTTGACAGCAGTAGAATCAGGAAGACGTGGATTGGTGTGAAGCTTTAATCTGTTTCTCATGTCAGGTAATGTTGCGTTAGACTAGAAATCAAAGAGCGACCCCCTCAGCTCTCAACAATACATTGCTCTGCTTGAGGTGCAATGATGAGCTTGGAAAGATTTTCAGATGGTGGCCGCGAACCTGCCTAGTTACGTTAAACTGGGCTGAGCCGTAGCCATGCGTGTGTGTTCCTTAAGGATACATTGTTTTGGAATATGCTGCATGTATTTATTTTAATTTGCTTTACTGTGGCATCTAGCTACTATAGTGATAAATGATCTACAAGTAGCTATGACTGATGGTTTTTTAAATGCATAAAATAAAGCATTACAAGAACATTCCCCATTCCCATTTTTCCCTTTAAACACCCTATAAAGTATAACATAGTGTAGTGCAGACAAATGTATTCCCCCATTTTCAGTGGCATCACAGACAGCCCTTCTCAACTTGCTGCATCCATCCAGCTGCTCAAGGCATTTCAGGAGTCTCCCCCTAAAACTACTACTTCTATTTGCTTAACCACCTCAGGTGATTTTCATACTGGTAGAACACAACTGAGGCCTTTTCCCAGGGTATTTTCAAGGACGGGCGTCTGCACACAGCCTGCAATGCACTAAGGAGGCATTTCACATGTTACGCTTGGAAAACCTCTCACTAGCAATTGTATCCCCTAGTAGGTACACATGAATGTACCCCAGGGAAAGCAGTATTGCTAGAACTGGTTGGTTCCTAATTTTTCAATCTGGCGAGAAGTTTGGGGCATTTTTTATTTTTATGATTTTTGGTCAACATTTGAAATGTTGGAATTTAAAAAAAAAAAAATTTCAAAGGTGCCCAAGTGATTTAGGAACCCTGAGTGCCCAAGTCACTTGGCTGCTTTTGAAAATATTATCCCCAATCTATAGTTGGTTGAAAAACCTCTTTGAAATTAAATTTCCCTTTAGTTGTATATGGAGATATACCTGTCTCATAGAACTGGAAGGGACCTTGAAGGATCATCAAGTCCAGTCCCCTGCCTTCACAGCAGGACCAAGTACTGTCCCTGACAGATTTTTGCCCCAGCTCCTGAAGTGGCCCCCTCAAGGATTGAATTCACAACCTTGAGGTTTAGCAGGCCAAGGCTCAAACCACTGAGCTATCCCGCCCCCTCAACATGTCTTTGACAACGTTCCCATTTGTGGTAATGAAATTCAAAATAGTGGCACAATTCTTCATTGACATTTTCTGGAAATTCAAAAAGTTCTGACCTGCTTTAAAAATTGTACTTAGAAAATGAAAGCCAGAATAATTCCTTCCTTGGCCTGCTGTCCCCAAATGCAGAGGCCACAAAGGTGTTTTCTCTGGTTACGGAGGCAACAACATTGATAACTCTCTTCAGCATTTCACCTCACACAAAGAAGCGTCAGCGTCCCGACAGCCTTTCTTGGACTGTGCTGCAACGTCTGATTTAACAGGCCAGATGGATGGGAAGTCTCCGACATGAGCATTCACACTCCCCCTTGGCCTAGAAATGAGCATCTCGCTCAGATGGGAATGTTGCTCTTTCCTGGGTTTGTCAGCAGATGGTTTGCCCCAAAAAACAAGCTGTGGTTTTATTTCCTGTACGAAAATGAAAATAAATAAATAAGAACATCCTGCGTGATAGAAATGTTACTTACCCTGGCTGTGTGATTGCCAGCCTCTGGGATATGTGCTGGAAATCACGCTCTTGTTCCTAGCTCCGTGAAATGTACTGAGGCAGACATCAGTGCCTTCAAAGGACAGATGCAGGAATACACCGGGTGGGAGACTTTTCAAAAGAACAAAGAGGAAGTCAGTGCCCGGTCCCCATTGACTTCCAGTAGGAATTGGATGCCAGGCTGCCCTTTGTGCCTTTGAAAGTCTATCGCCTCAAACTGTTTGTTTACCACCTGCTCACTTTGTGCAACAGAGGCTGGCTGCATACTCACACGGAAGGACATAGTACTCTTACCTTCACTCCGATCCTGGAGCAGAGCCATTGCTTTCCATTGTTGTTGTTCTTTAAGATTTATATTGATGTGCCACCTACTGCCAACTGGCTGGTGGCACCATTGTCCTAGGAGCTGCACATCTGCAAGATGTATGTATAGTAAATGACCTGCCCCGAACGTAAGAACGGCCATACTGGGTCAGACCAAAAGTCCATCTAGCCCAGTATCCTGTCTTCTGACAGTGGCCAATGCCAGGTGCCCCAGAGGGAATGAACAGAACAGGCAATCATCAAGTGATCCATCCCCTGTCGCTCATTCCCAGCTTCTGGCAAACAGGCTAGGGACACCATCCCTGCCAATCCTGGCTAATAGGCATCATGGAGCTATCCTCCATAATTTCTCTAGCTCTTTTTTTAACCCTGTTATAGTCTTGGCCAGGGGTGACAGTAACTTACCGGGGGGGTGCTGAACTGGAAGAGGCAGGGCCTTTAAGTCATCGCCAGGGCCCCGCTGCTGCTACCCCAGGGCTCCAGCAGTGGGGCTTGGGTGGTGATTTAAAGGTGGGCTCCAGCTGCCGCTACCACCTCGGGCCCTTTAAATAGTCCCCGGAGCCCTGCTGCCGGAGCCCTGGGGTAGCGGCGGCAGTGCTCCGGCGGCAAGTTAAAGGGCCTGGGGCGGTAGTGATGGCTGAGGCCCTGGCCCTTTAAATCGCCACCTGAGCCCCACCACCGCTACCCCAGGGCTCCGGCAGGCTCCAGGGATGATTTAAAGGGCACGGGGCGGTAGCGGCTACTGGAGCCCCCGACCCTTTAAATAGCCACTGGAGCCCTGCCGCCGCTTCCCCAGGGCTCTGGGGACAATTTAAAGGGCCTGGGGCGGTAGCGGCTACTGGAGCCCCGGACCCTTTAAATCGCTGCCTGAGCCCCGTTGCCACTTCCCCAGGGCTCCAGCAGCAGGGCTCTAGCAGCAATTTAAAAGGCTCAGGGCTCCAGCCGCTGCTGGGAACCCCAGGCCCTTTAAATTGCCCCCAGGGGACGCCGATCTGCTCCAGTACGGCGCATGGGCTCTTGCTGGTACGCCGTACTGGGGTGTCCTGGCTTACTTTCACCTCTGGTCTTGGCCTTCACAACTGTGAAGAGCTTACAGCGTAAAAGCCAAGACATAATAGGTGGCTACAGCATGCATGTCAGCTGGGACAGGAAGAGGGGCTAACACAAATAGTGAAACATGTGCCGCTCTTATGCAAATCCTGCCTTATGACTAAACCCCTGAGATAAACATCCGGCAGCTCATTCAGTAACGGGCGGGCAATCACAGCAGGCAGTAACAGGCGGCAGCATCTACTGGCTGGGAATAGGGCAGGGAAGTTGAAATCTGCGAATAGCTCTCACCCACAGGAAGAGTATTGAAGGACCACAGAGCTATAGTTCTAGATCTATCCTATGGGATGTTTTGAAAGGATCAGTCCCATGTCCCTTCAAGTCAACGGGCAGATTTCCTTGATTTCAGGGAATTGAAACAGTGACTGTAAAACTCAAGCAGGTTTTAAAGGAGTTCGCACTGATGCTCCAGCCCTCCTACAGGCTCATTGGTTTTAATAGCACACTGTGCAGAATTAAGCATTGCAAGGACTGCTCGGCTACACGCTGGCAATGCTGTGCTTGGCTGCAAGCAATCCCTCAGCGCTGAGCGGCAGTATTCTCAGGGCTAGCCTGAAGGCTTGAACAGCGGGAGGGCAGAATTGCACCTGGAACATCGGCAGGCAAGTGACCAAGATTCTGCCCTAGAAAGGACTTCGATGGTGGGCCGCTGGTTGGAGCATCGGTTTCCCCAGGTACTCACAGGGTGCGCAACGAGAACGCTAGTCCATTGGCCACACAGACCTCTTTGGCCACTCAAGAGTGTGACTGTAAACCAGGCCAGTTGGGGTCACAGGGAGCGACACGTGAAGGGGAGAGAACATAAGAACGGCCATACTGGGTCAGACCAAAGGTCCATCTGGCCCAGTATCCTGCCTTCTGACAGTGGCCAATGCCAGGTGCCCCAGAGAGAATGAACAGAACAGGTAATCATCAAGTGATCCATTCCCTGTAACCCATTCCCAGAGCATGGGGAGAGACTGCTAAGTACCCTGTCCTCCTGTCCCTTATCCTGCCCTGTGCATTGGATGGGAGCCAGGGCCATTAACCTACCTTGGACCAGGTAGCATAGGGTTGGAACACAATCCCCCTCAGATAAAGGCATGAGGTGTCCATGTGATAGGAGGTCATGTGACAGTTTTATGACCAGCTGTGACTGAAATGCTTGTGCAACATAGGCATTGTGAGGTATCATTTAAAAACTAAGAGCCCCCTGATCATCAATATTCTGGTGTGATGTATGGAGGAAATGCATATTAAGAGTTATGAACATAAGCTGAAGTTATCACTACAATGGGTGTACAAGTCTGGGGAGGGGATAAATCGGTTTCTCAAAGACCAAGGACAAGCTGATGCCTCCAGCCAGGTGTCACCCAAGTTGATTGGCCATCACCTGTCACATGGGCATTCTTTGTCAAGTGAGATGGATCTGCATTTTAGCAAACAACAGCCTTGAACTTCTTTCACCAAGAGACTCCATGTCTCTGTCCTCCCAGCTGGAATAAGGTTTATCTAGGGGAAACCCTCAGGAAAATGCAATACAAAGGACTATAAAAGTGAAGGGCAAAAACACCCCAATTCATCTCTTTCTCATTCACCTAAGAAGACAAAGGAACCAGCCTTTTGACTTTGGGGGGAGATCCTGACCTGAGAAGTTGGGAACCTGTGCTAAGGATTTTACCTTGAACCCAGTCTAGCTTGTTCAGTTTTGGCTGCTAGGAAGCATTTTATCTTTATTTCCCTTGTAACCATTTCTGACTTTAATACCTTATACCTGTACTCACTTAAAACCTGTCCCTTTGTAGTTAAATATACTGGTTTTATTTTTAATCTAAATTAGTCCAGCGCTGTGTTTAAACTGAACTGTTTGGTCACTCCAGTTAAAGCAGCAAACTGTTCAATAGTGACCCTTTAATCTCAGAATCCAGGAGAGGGCTGGGCAGTGCCTAACACACATTAGTGGGAAAATTTGGGACAGGAAGTGTGTTGGGGGTCACCCTGCAAGTAGTAACCAAGGCTACTGGAAGCAGAGTGCGCTGCTGGCAGGGGTCAGAGTTACTGGACCAGGGCTGCAGCAATAAACAGACACCCAAGGTGTGACCTGTAGGCTGGTTGTGAGCGGCCCAGGTTGGGAGCTACAGTGGCAAAGCGTTGTGAGGCACCCAAGGTTTCAGGGCAGGCGGTGACAACCCCTCAGTGGGCTGGATTGGCACCCCGGAATGTGATAGTAGGGGTCTATGATGGGGATGCCTGTGATAGCAGGGGATCAGCCCTGATGACCTAGGAGGTCCGTTTGAGTCGTGCAGCCCATGTGCCTGGGAATGGCTTCACAGCACAGTTCACAGGAGCCCTCTGGATACTGGCGCGCTCACTCAGCAATTGACTTTAACCCAGCCAGGACCACAAAACCCACAGCCAGCCAGCAGCAGCAGCAAGGAAGCCTGTTGCTATCCAGGCTGTCTCTGAAACATTTGATCCTTCCCCTGATCACAGGCATTGGCAGGAGAACGAAAGGTGTGAGTGCGGTTTGGGTCTCATCGTGGGTTGATACTCACGGCCAAAGCGGCGGGATGGGGATGGGGCCTAGGATGTGCCACAAAGTTCCCTTCAGCCAGGTTCCCATTGCTGCTCATCCCTAGTGCTTATCTAGCGCTTTTCAGCTGTAGGTCTCCAAGTGCTTTAGAAAGGTCAGTCTCATGTTCCCCATTTTACAGCTGGGGAAGCTGCCCCTGAGCTGTGGGTGCTGTGGGGAGTCAGAGAGGAAGCACTAGGGGAGTGGCCTCCACATCCTACAGATGCCAGAGAACCACAGGGAAAAGAGAAACTGACCCCACTGCCTCTGTCTGAGGCTGGCCAGTCTCCCCTACCACCAGCACCGTGGACCTCACCTGATCTGTGTTATACCGACGTCGGCAGGGAACGACCGACTCGATCACGCTCGTTTTCCAGGAAATTAGCCGACAGGCGAAACACATTTGTAAGCAGTGGCGCAGGAACACTTTTTCGAACGGGGGTGCCGCGCCCCCCCACACACAAACCCCTGTCCACACCCCACTCCTCACCCCTTGAGCTGGGGCCGGGAGCAGGGCCCTGGCTCTGGGAGGGCGGGACGCGGACAGAGGCAAAAGGACTGAGACTGGGGCCACAGCTGGGGGCGAGGACGGAGCCCCAGGCGTGGGGCTGGCAGCCAGGATCCCACATGTGGGGCTGGGAGCAGAGCTCTGGGCACAGGGCCAGCAGCCGGGACCCCGGGCGCGAGGCTGGGAGCAAAGCCCCGCATAAAACCGGGTGGTGCTGCCACCGCGCCCGCCCCCCTAGTTCCCAGGCCTATATTTGAGGCCTCCATCAAACTTTTCACTGTCCCCATCAATGCTGCCGAACTCTTCCTCTTACCGGCTCTGTGACGTCCTTCCCCGGCCCTCGCCACAACGCCAAAGGGACTCCACACACCGTGGGGCAGACCATCAACTGGTGTAAATCGAGGTCACTCCATTGCATTCGTGCCAATTTGCATCAGCTGAGGATTTGGCCGAATGTGTCTGAACGACTTTCTGCCTGGTTGCCTGTTAGTATTATCTGCAGGCAGCCCGGCCATGCTTAATAAACAGTGAGGGCATGTTATCAGGGAAGCAGTCAGGACACGGGGGCGGGGGGTGTTTGACGAACAACAGACTCATCGGCCTCCATCCTGAGCTGCGTGGTACAAGCTGCAGCGCCAGCAGAAGCATGTCTGAGTCAGAGCTATCACCAGCTCGAAATCACATGTCAGATGAATAGAACGAACCCATTTCTGCGCTTACACATATTTTAGGGCCCTGCCCTTGGGCCCATGGAAATTGATGGCAAATCTCCCATAGCGCTGGGTCAGGACTTAAACCCACAAATTGATGGTTTATTTCGTGTACAGTTTGCAATCGCTTCATAAACAGGGAGACAGGGAAACAGGAGCGGAGCAGATCAGTGGGTTAGAATAGAGAGGAAGGCCCAGCACCTCCAGGGGGCTTAGGTACCTAAATACCTTTGAGGATCTGGGCTGAAATGACTAGGGGTCAATTTTCAAAGGAACCCAAGTGACTTAGGAGTCTAAGTCACATTGTTCAAAAGTGACCTAGTCACTTTGGGTATGTCCGGACAGCCTGCGACCGCTCGCTCCCAGCTGGAGGTGACAGACTCGGGCGCTCCGGGCTTGCACTCATCATCATCATGTTTCTATTACGCCTCTGGCATTTAGGGCAGTGACAAAGTTCCTCCACTCCTGTCTGTTTCTGGCAAGTCTTTCAATGGTTCCCCAGCTGTGCCCCAGGTTTTTCAACTCGGCTTCCACAGCTCTTCGGCATGTTGCTTTCGGGCGGCCTCGTTTTCACTTGCCTTCAGGTGTCCATCTTATTGCCACTCTGATGATGGAATCAGTTTCCATCCGAAGCACATGGCCAATCCATCTCCAGCGCCTCCTGGCGATGATGGTGCGCAGATCCTCTTGGCTGCACTGTGTCAATAGCTCTTGGTTTGAGATTGTTCTGGGCCAAAAGATACGGAGGATTTTTCTGAGGCAGGTTGTATGGAATGAAGACAGTTTGGACATGTCAGACTTTCTCATTCCCCAGCATTCTGCGCTATAAAGTAGTGTTGAAAGTACGCAGCTCTGATAAATCTTGAGTTTGGTTTTGGTGTTGTACTTTGATGATTTCCAGACTGGATTTAAACTCCTGAAGGTGTTCCTGGCTTTATTGATTTTATTCCAGATGCGCTGGCTCATTCCACTGTCCTGGCTGGTGGTGCTGCCCAAGTATGTGAATGTTTCTACATTGGTGAGAACATAATCCTCTATCTGTACTGGTGATGGTGAGGCAATATTAAAGGTCATGATATCTGTATTATTCCGATTTTCAAACCAATTTGCTGGCTGAATGCATTGAGTCGAGTTGTTTTTTCTTGTATATGGTGTTTTGTTTGTGATAGGAGAGCGACATCATCTGTGAAGTCCAGGTCTTCAAGGGATGAGAAGGGTGTCCATTTAATGCCTCTTGGCATGTCTTCTGTTGTACGCTGCATTACCCAGTCGATGGCAGTGTTGAAGAGGATTGCAGACATGACACACCTCTGACGTACTCCTGTTTTGACTTCAAAACTGAGCTCGCTGCGATCAACGCTGCATGTATAGTTGAAATAGAAGCTTTTGATGACGTTGATTATACGGAAAGGGATTCCATATACCCACAGAACGCGCCATAGGCTGGTTCTGTGAATGCTGTCAAAAGCCTTCTCAAAGTCTATGAAATTTTTGTAGAGTTGCCATTGCCATGCTAAGCTCTGTTCTATTATGTTTCGTAGAGTGAAGATCTGGTCTGTGCATCCATGCCCTTTCCAAAAACCGGCTTGCTCTTTTCTGAGAACGCTATTGACTCCCTCCAATATACGCTGGACTATGAACTTACACAATACTTTGCTTGGCACAGATAAAAGTGTGATACCACGCCAGTTATTACAGTCACTGAGAGTTCCTTTCTTTGATATCTTCACTATAACCCCATTGGTCCACTCATCTGGCACTTTTTCCCTTTCCCAGACTGATGTAAATAGAGGGGCCAGGATAGATGCTGCTAACTTAGGATTTACCTTGAACAATTCCGCATTCGAGTTATCCTTGCCAGGAGCTTTCCCATTTTTTAAGGAGTTGATGGCTTGAATGGTCTCTTCCTTAGTTGGGGTGTCTGTGTTGATATCAAGATCTTCTTCTGCCTCCTGGATGTTCGCTTCCTCTTCAGATGGCTCCCTGTTCAGCAATTCTTTGAAATGCTCTGTCCAGCACATTTCTTGTTCTTTTCCAGTTGTTAGTAGGTGTCCTTGTTTGCTCCTGATGACAGTGTGTGTTGGTGTCTGCCATTTACCACTGATAAGCTGTGTCATTTTGTAACTGGTTCCTTGTTCACCACAAACAGCTGCATCCTCTGTGTATGTTGCCAGATTATTAATAAAATGCTGTTTGTCCTTTCTCACAAGGCGCTTGACCTCCTGGTGTGCCTGGTTATACTGCTTGCGGTATTTGTCCTTTAGCTTCTGGGATTTTGTGTATAAAACTTTTTTCTTCAGGGCTCGTCTGGTTTCTATGGCGTTCCATGTGCTGGGTGTAATCCACTCCTTCCATCTCTTCCGCCTGTAGCCTAGACAGGCGTCACTGCTCTGTTTATAAATTCCTGTTACTTTGTCCCTCTTCTTGTTGATCTCCACATCTGCATGCCCCTCCTCTTCATCAAGGTCTGCAAGGGCTTGAAACCTGTTCTTTAACTGCAGAACAAAACCTTTCTGTATTTCAAGGGACTTTAGCTTGTCAATGTCATAATGTCTATGTCCCTTGTTTGGTGGACCCACACTTCCCAGTTTTAGCTTGATGGAGGCTGTAACAAGGTGGTGGTCACTGCCAACATCTGCTCCCCTTCCCACTTTCACATCTGTCAGTGAGCATCCGCATTTGCCATTGATCATGATATGGTCAATCTGGTTCTTATCTCTGCCATTTGGAGAACACCATGTCAGCCTGTGAATTTCACAATGTTGAAATAGGGTTCCGCCGATGACTAAGTCATTCATATTACAGACATCAACAAGCCTTTCTCCATTTTCATTCATGGTGCCACACCCATGTCTTCCCATTGCTCTGTCATTGTTTGTGTTGTCCTTACCGACCTTGGCATTCAGGTCTCCCATGACGATAATTAGGTTGTGGCATGGTCCTCTCTTTACTTCTTTATCACTGTCATTTGTTGGAGCATAGCATTGAATCAGGGTGATAGTATTATGTTTCCCTTTCAGTCTGGCTCTCATAAGTCTGCTGCTGATAGACTTCCGCTCAAGCAGGGAACGCTCCACTCCCTTCTTCAAAAGGATGGCAACACCCTCATGGTGTTGTCCATCATCCCATCCAGAAAACAGCAAAGTTTCTCCTGGGGCTGCTGTTAATCTTCTTGATCCCGTCCATCTGCTCTCCCTGACACCCAGGATATATAAGCTGTAGTGTCTCATCTCTGCTGGGAACTGAGCTAGTTTCCCTGTTTCGTTCATTGTCCGTACGTTCCAAAAACCAAGTTTGGGTTTTGTCTTGGTGTTGAGCACTTCAGCCTTCATGCCCATCGTTTCCTTTCGGCTTTCACCACTGGCAGTCATACGGGTCATTGACTCCTGAAGGCCATCACACACAGTAATGGGCGATTTCTCTGTCGTTGTTTCTGTAACATATTTTGTTTTTTACCAGACAGGGTTGTGAGCCCTATGCCTAACCCCCAAGGTGGAGGACCAAGGTGTCTGTTCTGTCTGGCCCCTCTCCCACAGACCAATCCGGCATGGTTAACCTACCAAGAGCAAAAAGCCCCTGCCGACACAGACTCTGGGGATCATTAGAGCGTGCAAGCTGTCCCGCCCCGACACAGCACAGACACCAGAGGACAGGGCTTGCACTACAGCACTAAAAATAGCTAGGCAGATATCATAAATGTAAAGGGAAGGGTAACAACCTTCCTGTATACAGTACTATAAAATCCCTCCTGGCCAGAGGCACAAAATCCTTCTACCTGTAAAGGATTAAGAAGCTCAGGTAACCTGGCTGGCACCTGACCAAAAGGACCAATAAGGGGACAAGATACTTTCAAATCTGGGGCGGGGGGGAGGCTTTGTTTGTCTGTTCTTTGTCTGTCTGTTCTGGGTGCTTGCCGGAGACAAATCAAGAAAGCAAGCAATCCAACGCCATTAGAATGAATAAGTACTAGCAAGGGAATGCGTTGGCTTACTTTTATTTTGGCTTGTGATTTTCTCTGTGCTGAGAGGGAGGTGTATTCCTGGTTTTCTTTTTGTAACTTTAAAGTTTTGCCCAGAGGGAAATCCTCTGTGTTTTGAATCTGATTGCCCTGTGAGATTATCTTCCATTCTAATTTTACAGAGGTGCTTTTTACCTTTTTTCTTTCTAATAAAGTTCTGTTCTTTTAAGAATCTGGTTTTTTTAATGTCCTAAAAACCCCAAGGTTGGTCTGTGCTCATCTTGTTTATTCTCAAGCCTCCCCAACAAAGGGGGTGCAGGGCTTGGGGGGATATTAGTGGGGAGTAGGAACTCCAAGTGGTCCTTTCCCTGAGTTTTGTCTAATCACTTGGTGGTGGCAGCGTTACCTAATCCAAGGTACAAGGGAGAGTTTGTGCCTTGGGGGGTTTTTAACCTAAACTGGTAGAAATAAGCTTAGGGAGTCTTTCATGCGGGTCCCCACGTCTGTACCCCAGAGTTCAGAGTGGGGAGGGAACCCTGACATGCTGGCTTGGGATAGAGCTCAGGTCCTGAAGCTTTGGGTGGGGGTGGGCTTCACAAGCCCAACCACTAGCCTAAGCTGCAGCTTAAAATCACTGTCTTTCTGTCTGTTCTTAGCGCATTAGTGCAAGGCTCAGCAGCTCATGGCCATTCCCTTGGGGGAGCCTGAATGTAACTGAAAGCCAATGGGACTTGGGTTCCAAGGGTACATCTACATTGCAATAAAAAAACCCCGCAGCACCAGCTCTCAGAGCCCGAGCCAACTGACTCTGACTTGCAAGGCAACAGGACAGTGGGGCTAAACACTGCAGTGTAGACATTCAGGCGTGGGTGGGAGTCCGAGGCCATG